ACACCCTCCGTTACTAATTCACATCATCTTTCTTTGTTGTTTTACATCATGAGAGAAGTGAGTTAGGAAGTTACAGAGCTTGCAGAGGTGAGCCAGCTGGGCTGCATGGGCTCAGGAAACAAGTTACAGGGCAGGAGAAGGGCCCTTGGGGCTCAGTGCAGAGGAGGTGAAGGTGAGGGGCGGGGTGCCCCCAGCGGGAGAGCACGCTCACCTCCTCCTCTGATGTCTTACAGCCGTGCTCATGTTCAAGTCAGTTTATTTGCAATAATTTATTTAGAACTCCAAGTTTATCTTCTCATAAAAATAATTTCATAAAGGTGCTTATTTCACCAGATGATCTCACAGACCTGTTCATTTCATAACAACACTAGAGTCGGTCACGCCGTCCATCTGTCCGCAGAGCTCGTGCTATGAGCTGTGCATTTCCCACTGTGACGAACAGGCTTTCTGTCTTCCTGTCCCTTCCCACTGCGATCATGGAAAATGACCCAGGGGCAGGACCCGGGCTGGGCGTGCACCGGGGGCTGGGGTTGCAGGGTGGGAGGAGGGCAGCGGGCTGTGCAGGGGTCGGGCCGCGTGAAGGTTTACGTGAGGTTACATCTGCTCTAGAGCGGTGGTCCGGGTACAGCCGAGAGGGTGTTGGGGTCGTTATTTTTCTGTACAGATTCAAAGGGACTGAGCTGGAGTTATTCATGAAATACGTATCTATTGAGCCTCAGTATTTCTCCCTCAGCGAGAACAGAGTGAAGGTCAGACCGAGTGTTGTGGGTGGGAGCACTTCCGGAGAACCCAGAGGGTGGGCTGGTGGCTGACACATCCATGCTGAGCACCCCGGTCCCCAGACAGCCCCTGCCAGGGAACGAGCACTTCCTGCCTGCCAGCGGCTCCTCCCAGCTCTGCAGCTCCTCCTCCTCCTCCTCCTCCTCCAGGCGGGGCAGCGTCTGTGCAGGCCGGAGGCGGCTGAGGTCAAGTTGGTCTCAGCTCCAGAGGCTTGTGAGCCTCAGTCTGCCTGCCAGGGCCCAGTGGCCTCTCGTACTCGCCCTCACAGCTGGGGAAGTCTCGTCCCTCGCACTGTGCTGCCTGCACTTGCCGTGGGACTCCTGCTGCTCAGAGACCTGGGGTGGTCGCCTCCCCTGTCCCCAAGGGCTTGCTTCCTCCCTCCTCTCTCAGGACGGTGCTTAGGAGAGGACTCCATCTGGGGCGGGGGCGGGTGAGCAGCGGCACCCCGTGGGGTCAGTTTCTCTCCTGGAGAAGCCGCTTCTGCGTGGCGCGCTGTCCACACGCACTGTGGAGGAGCCTGCGGACGGACTCCTCGCAGGCAGCGTGAGCGACAGCGGGGCTCGCTATGGGTGTTTCCCACGATGAAGTGCAGCTCGCGTGTTCGCTGTGACTTGCGGATTTTGAGATGTGAAGTCCGGTTTTTGGCTCAGTGTCACACAGGCCTGCAAATTGCTTGGACCGGGAAAGCGGCAAAGGGCACACGCATTCGCAGCCTGCCCCATGTGCCTGGCAGGACTGGTCTAGGGATGCTGCCGTGCTCAGCACGTGGCAGCAGGTGGCCGTCAGGGCCCTCTCGGCTGGGCAGCCGCAATCATGGTGAGCGGTGGAGGACGAGCCTGAGCGGCCCGGGCAGACGTCATGGAGATGCATCGTGCCCGGGTCTCCACGGTCAGCACGTTTGGAAAGTGCGCATGTTCCGTGCTTGCGTCTCGTCGTCGTGAGCGTCTGTGTCCGTGGGGTTTTCATGGACAGCCTGTGGTTTACAGTCTTGGTTGAGCTGGTTCTGCTCACACGTCCGTATGGCTCCCAGGCAATACCATGGAAATTAATTTAGTCCTTCAGTGTTCACTGGTATAACATTTGCTTGGGGAAACATAAAAATAAGTGATTATCGTGAAGTTTGAAGATAATCTTTAGATGGTGAACTGTTCTGCTGATCCCATGGTTCACACAGACGGGAATCCCTGCAGTAATGAAAACACTCACTTTCTGTGCCTGGGACTCTGTGGAGCACTCTCCAGACGTCTCACGTGATGGCCTCGGAGGTGGGAAGCTAAGTGTGACCCGCACTGAACAGATCAAGAAGCTCCGTGAAGTCCGAGTGGCTTCCTATGGTCAGAGCCTCCCTTTTAGAAATCAACTTTTTTGAGGCATAAAATATGCCTGTTTAAAAATAATACTTTGAGCCCTGGCTGGTTTGGCTCAGCGGTTAGAGCATCGGCCTATGGTCCGGAGAGACCCGGGTTCAATTTCCGCTAAGGGCTCGTACCTCAGTTGTAGTTTGTCCCCGGCCCTGGTTGTGTCGTGTGGGTGGCAGCCACTCGATGTGTCCCTTTCACATCGATGTTTCTCTCTCTCTCCCTCCCACTCTATCTGAACAAAATATCGAAAAAAATGTCCTCGAGTGAGGATAAAAAAACAAAATAAAGATAATAGTTTGAGTTTTGACAAACGTGTGCACTCATGTAAATACTACTCCAGTTAAGATACAAAACATTTTCCTCATGCCCCAAATTCCCTTGTGCCTTTTTGCTGTCAACCCACTCGAGACATCTGTTAGTCTTCCGTCTGTCTCTAGGTCTGTTTTGCCTGTTCTGGAGTTTCATGTAGATGAAAGCATGATGTGTGAAGTCTGTCTAAGTGGGTTCTTGTGCTCACAGCTGTGAGATGCACCATGCTCTGTGCAGGTCATGATGTGTGAACTCCAAGTGGGTTCTTGTGCTCACAGCTGTGAGATGCACCATGCTCTGTGCAGGTCATGACGTGTGAACTCCAAGTGGGTTCTTGTGCTCACAGCTGTGAGACGCACCGTGGTCTGTGCAGGTCATGACGTGTGAACTCCAAGTGGGTTCTTGTGCTCACAGCTGTGAGATGCACCATGCTCTGTGCAGGTCATGATGTGTGAGTTCCAAGTGGGTTCTTGTGCTCACAGCTGTGAGATGCACCGTGGTCTGTGCAGGTCATGATGTGTGAACTCCAAGTGGGTTCTTGTGCTCACAGCTGTGAGACGCACCGTGGTCTGTGCAGGTCATGATGTGTGAACTCCAAGTGGGTTCTTGTGCTCACAGCTGTGAGATGCACCATGCTCTGTGCAGGTCATGATGTGTGAGCTCCAGGTGGGTTCTTGTGCTCACAGCTGTGAGATGCACCGTGGTCCATGCAGGTCATGATGTGTGAGCTCCAAGTGGTTTCTTGTGCTCACAGCTGTGAGACGCACCGTGGTCTGTGCAGGTCATGATGTGTGAACTCCAAGTGGGTTCTTGTGCTCACAGCTGTGAGATGCACCAAGGTCTGTGCAGGTCATGACGTGTGAAGTCTGTCTAAGTGGGTTCTTGTGCTCACAGCTGTGAGACGCACCGTGGTCTGTGCAGGTCATGACGTGTGAGCTCCAAGTGGTTTCTTGTGCTCACAGCTGTGAGACGCACCGTGGTCTGTGCAGGTCATGATGTGTGAACTCCAAGTGGGTTCTTGTGCTCACAGCTGTGAGATGCACCAAGGTCTGTGCAGGTCATGACGTGTGAAGTCTGTCTAAGTGGGTTCTTGTGCTCACAGCTGTGAGACGCACCGTGGTCTGTGCAGGTCATGACGTGTGAACTCCAAGTGGGTTCTTGTGCTCACAGCTGTGAGACGCACCAAGGTCTGTGCAGGTCATGACGTGTGAAGTCTGTCTAAGTGGGTTCTTGTGCTCACAGCTGTGAGATGCACCAAGGTCTGTGCAGGTCATGACGTGTGAAGTCTGTCTAAGTGGGTTCTTGTGCTCACAGCTGTGAGACGCACCGTGGTCTGTGCAGGTCATGACGTGTGAACTCCAAGTGGGTTCTTGTGCTCACAGCTGTGAGACGCACCGTGGTCTGTGCAGGTCATGACGTGTGAACTCCAAGTGGGTTCTTGTGCTCACAGCTGTGAGACGCACCATGGTCTGTGCAGGTCATGACGTGTGAACTCCAAGTGGGTTCTTGTGCTCACAGCTGTGAGACGCACCGTGGTCTGTGCAGGTCATGACGTGTGAACTCCAAGTGGGTTCTTGTGCTCACAGCTGTGAGACGCACCATGGTCTGTGCAGGTCATGACGTGTGAACTCCAAGTGGGTTCTTGTGCTCACAGCTGTGAGACGCACCATGCTCTGTGCAGGTCATGATGTGTGAACTCCAAGTGGGTTCTTGTGCTCACAGCTGTGAGACGCACCATGCTCTGTGCAGGTCATGATGTGTGAAGTCTGTCTACGTGGGTTCTTGTGCTCACAGCTGTGAGATGCACCATGCTCTGTGCAGGTCATGATGTGTGAACTCCAAGTGGGTTCTTGTGCTCACAGCTATGAGATGCACCATGCTCTGTGCAGGTCATGATGTATGAAGTCTGTCTACGTGGGTTCTTGTGCTCACAGCTGTGAGATGCACCATGCTCTGTGCAGGTCATGATGTGTGAACTCCAAGTGGGTTCTTGTGCTCACAGCTGTGAGACGCACCATGCTCTGTGCAGGTCATGACGTGTGAAGTCTGTCTACGTGGGTTCTTGTGCTCACAGCTGTGAGACGCACCATGCTCTGTGCAGGTAGCTCCTGTTCGTAGCTCAGTAGATTCCACTGTGTGAGCAGCACCGGTCATTTATCCATTCACCTGCTGGTGGACATTGGTGTTTCTAGGTCGGGCCTGTTATGACTAAAGCAGCTATGGACAGGGTGTACATTTTTTTTAATAAGAGCCTTCCAGTAAAAACCGGAAGACTTACTAGACAAATTCAAAAAGAGCCGTAAGCACTCAGGGTGTACATTTTTGTGAGGACATCGGTTTTCATTTCTCTTGGGTAAACACCTAGGAGATGAACAATGGGTCATCACCTGTCAATGACTTGGTTCAGTTCACTTACCTTTGCTGTGTCCCATTCATACTTTCCCAGGGTCTCGTCCTTTGTGCGGTCATTTCTGTGACTGTCTGGTATGAATGTACAAGCAGAGCTCTCTGAGTGTGGTCCCAGCTGCCTGTCCTTGTTTAACATTTCAGAGTGCTCACTTGGCCATGATAGACACCCTGATGATGGCCTACACCGCGGAGATGGTCAGCATAGACAAGGTCGTCGCGTGCGCCCAGCGGTACTCAGCTTTCTTCCAGGCCACGGACCTGCCCTATGACATTGAGGATGCTGTCATGTACTGGATAAATAAGGTAGGACTTCGCTCACCTGAGTCAGAACAAGTCCCATAAGCAGAAAAGGTGAAATCCTCAGTTAGACATCACCAGAACTGCGTAGATAGTTTCAATAAGTATTTTATGCACTAGATACACTGTCTCTTAACTTCTTTGGATTTGGGGCTATTTGAACAATCTGATAGGAAATAAGTTAGACCTCCCCCCAGAGTTCCCATATGCAAACATTTTCAATGTATTTTAGCTGTGGTCTTACGTCCACACACTAAAACCCACTGTGATCCAAGGCCACGTCCAAAGTCACAGCTCAAGAACTTGATTCAGGGTGATTTCTGTTACCAGTGACAACGTGAATGTTCACATATAGTCCTAAACACATTGTAACATTTTTACCACCCAAACATTTCATCGCTTTCCGAGCGTTGACGCTGAAGTGACTGAGTACCCTTTTCTCCAGCATTGTGGCCTGGCCTGGCCTGGGGGAGGTGTTCAATAGCGTTTAATGGATTAATGAGTTAATTTCAGATGCTCAGGTACAGCCCCTGTAAAGTACTGTGTTCCGGTGGGAAGGTGGACTGTCCATCATCTAAGGGGTGCTGATACTGGGCATCAGAACTCTGACCACAGCATTGTCAGGTGCATCTCTCTCCACTGTTACACTGGAATATAAATTCAAATGGCTGTTTTTGTATTTCGAGGTGAATGAACATTTGAAAGACATACTGGAGCAGGAACAGAGACCAAGAGGCTACCACACGGCCGAAGCTCCAGGAGGTCAGAAGGTACCTACGCAAAGGAAGCGGCGGCCGCTCCCCCACGGGCTGTTGTTCTGGGCCGTGCTGACAGTGGTGGTCATGGAATTGTTTCTGATGATGTTAACTGTGCCCCAGAAAGCCGTGCCCTAAACACCTCGTGGGCAGGACAGAAAAAGCAGTCAGCTGGACGATGCTGTTCAGGAAAGATGGTTAAATGACGAGCTCAATTTCTGAGGCTCTTTTGGCAAAAATAATGGTTTTGACTTTGGTAAAATGTATGAAACAACAAGAAAACAGCCCTCAGGGTTCAGCCTTACAGTGACGTGTAACAAGATCAGCCTTTAAAATTGCCTTCCAGGAACTGTGAGTGGCCCCTGCGGGTACTCTGTGGGGAAGGAACACACGTCAACATAGATTCATTCTTTAAAAACCCTTGAGCAGGCATTTAGAGTTTTCTGCTTTGAAAATTTGTGTTTGTCATATACTAAGACTGAAAGTATTTTCCACAGTATAGTATACAGTCGTCCCTCGTTTATCGCGGTCAATCCGTTGCAGACTCTAGCGGTTGCACCTGGCATTGGAGGTTTCCTGGGGCGCTCGAATACATAGGTCTACAGTCCATACGTACAGTAATTTTAATTGTAATTGTAATACAGGGCTGTACAATTGACTCAGACATCTGAGAGCGCGCTGTATCATTTTCACTGTCTCGATCAACTTTTTAATGAATATATTTGAAAAAACTGTGATAGAGTGAAGCTGCGAAAGTCGAAGTGCAAAGTGGCGAGGGACGACTGTATCTTACTTCTTATAAAATGCGTTATAATGGGAGCCCTTTCAGCATGTCTGTAGCATTTGAATTGAGGTGTAAGAAATGATCATTGTTCAGAGACCACTGTCCACCTGGGTAACTGTGATTCGCACCTGCACTCTGGTCCTCTGGGCCCTGCCCCTGGGCAGTGCTGCACCGAGAAGAGAGCGCGAGGACAGGGGAAGCAGTCTGGGTGTCCCCAGCCCCAGTACGGAGCACCCGAGATCTTGTCTGAATGTGATGTTTTGGGGTCATGGTGCTTTCCCCCATTTAGTTACTGATGAGCTCCGGAAAAGGCTCGACCCCATCTCGGTCCACATCCTTTCTCTTCTGACATCGGCCTTGTTGAGGGTTCCGCTCCCACCTTCAGCCAGCCCGTCTCTCCCCACCCCCCGCTCCCCGCAGTCCTTTCCCCTCCGCCCCGCCCCTCCACTCCCACAGGAGTTGAAAGCGTTGCCTTGGAGGTGGGTGTGATCCTGTCCCCCAGTTTTGCTCCTGGCTCTCATCAGGAATGAGGTTAAGACGGCATCATCCTGAGGACCTTCCCATAGAATCTCGTCATTCGTAAGGATTGAATTCTTTAGCATCACATCCACACTCGGAACTGAGTGGGAATTTTATAGGATGTGGGACCCGATAAATATCACTTCTATGGGGGAAACACTGTTTGTGTTCCAAACCCCCAGAGTAAGAGACCTTGAAGCAAGCCAGCTGTGTGGGGCCTGGACACCGGACTTCCTCCCAGCCGGGATTCCCTGAGTGAATGAGCACGAATCTGATTCACTTCTCAGCGTTTGGATTCGTGCACACCCTTATTTTACAAATAACGTTCACACCTTCCTTTTCAAATGGGTTTTTTCTGGTTTCTCATGTTAGAATCTTTGTGAAAAATAAGGTTCCGTTCACATAGTCCTGCTGCCAAGTACAGTTCATTAGTGTGAGAAACACGGTCACAGCAGGAACTGGGGACAGACTCTTTCTCTAACCGCACGTGGGATTTCTGGCATTTGAACGTTTTGGACTGGCCAGAAATATCATCACTTCATTTTTATTTTTGTTTCTATAAAATTCTTGGTCCATGTCCTGGCCAGTTTGGCTCAGTGGTTGGAGCGTCGGCTCGCGGACCAGAGAGGCCTGGGTTCGGTTCCCACCAAGGGCATGTACCTCAGTTGCAGTTTGTCCCCAGCCCGGTTGGGGTTGTGTGGGTGGCAGCCACTCGATGTGTCCCTCTCACATCGATGTTTCTCTCTCTCTCTTCTTCCCTCTCTCCCTCCTGCTCTGTCTCAAGAAAAATGCAAAAAAAAAAAAAAAAATTAAAATTCTTGGTCCTTTTCTTTGGGGGGAGAGCTAGAAGGACTTCTCTGCCTCTGCGCCATTGGTGAGAGCTCAGCACAGGTCTGCGCCCACACGCCTGTCCTGTGTCTGTCGTGTCCGTGGCCTGCCAGCTGCGGACGGCCTCTGCTGTGGGGGTGACAGCTTCCCTGTCGCCCTTGCCCAGCACCCACCGTTCATGAGACCCCCTTTTCCAACATCTTTTTTGTAAAACGTGTGCATGTCGAAGGCCCAGAGCTCAGATTGCAAAGGGATTTCTTTAGCTCGGATGCCCTGGGGGGGCGGGGCATGCCTCTGACCTGGTTTGGGCGTGTCCGAGGAGGTGGGCGTTGCGAGGGGCGTGTCCGAGGTGAGGGGCGTGTCCGAGGAGGTGGGCGTTGCGAGGGGCGTGTCCGAGGAGGTGGGCGTTGCGAGGGGCATGTCCGAGGAGGTGGGCGTTGCGGGGGCGTGTCCGAGGAGGGGCATTGTGAGGGGCGTGTCCGAGGAGGTGGGCATTGTGAGGGGCATGTCCGAGGAGGTGGGCGTTGCGAGGGGCATGTCCGAGGAGGGGCATTGTGAGGGGCGTGTCCAAGGAGGTGGGCATTGTGAGGGGCGTGTCCGAGGAGGTGGGCGTTATGAGGGGCGTGTCCGAGGAGGTGGGCGTTGCGAGGGGCATGTCCGAGGAGGTGGGCGTTGCGGGGGCGTGTCCGAGGAGGGGCATTGTGAGGGGCGTGTCCGAGGAGGTGGGCATTGTGAGGGGCGTGTCCGAGGAGGTGGGCGTTATGAGGGGCATGTCCGAGGAGGGGCGTTGCGAGGGGCATGTCCGAGGAGGGGCATTGTGAGGGGCGTGTCCGAGGAGGTGGGCATTGTGAGGGGCGTGTCCGAGGAGGTGGGCGTTATGAGGGGCATGTCCGAGGAGGGGCATTGTGAGGGGCGTGTCCGAGGAGGTGGGCATTGTGAGGGGCATGTCCGAGGAGGTGGGCGTTGCGGGGGCGTGTCCGAGGAGGTGGGCGTTGCGGGGGCGTGTCCGAGGAGGGGCATTGTGAGGGGCGTGTCCGAGGAGGTGGGCATTGTGAGGGGCGTGTCCGAGGAGGTGGGCGTTATGAGGGGCATGTCCGAGGAGGTGGGCATTGTGAGGGGCGTGTCCGAGGAGGGGCATTGTGAGGGGCATGTCCGAGGAGGTGGGCGTTGCGAGGGGCATGTCCGAGGAGGTGGGCGTTGCGGGGGCGTGTCCGAGGAGGGGCATTGTGAGGGGCGTGTCCGAGGAGGGGCATTGTGAGGGGCGTGTCCGAGGAGGTGGGCGTTGCGAGGGGCATGTCCGAGGAGGTGGGCGTTGCGGGGGCGTGTCCGAGGAGGGGCATTGTGAGGGGCGTGTCCGAGGAGGTGGGCGTTATGAGGGGCATGTCCGAGGAGGTGGGCGTTGCGAGGGGCATGTCCGAGGAGGTGGGCGTTGCGGGGGCGTGTCCGAGGAGGGGCATTGTGAGGGGCGTGTCCGAGGAGGTGGGCGTTATGAGGGGCATGTCCGAGGAGGGGCATTGTGAGGGGCGTGTCCGAGGAGGTGGGCATTGTGAGGGGCGTGTCCGAGGAGGTGGGCGTTATGAGGGGCGTGTCCGAGGAGGTGGGCGTTGCGGGGGCGTGTCCGGGGAGGTGGGCGTTGCGGGGGCGTGTCCGAGGAGGTGGGCGTTGCGGGGGCGTGTCCGGGGAGGTGGGCGTTGTGGGGGGCGTGTCCGAGGAGGTGGGCGTTGCGGGGGCGTGTCCGAGGAGGTGGGCATTGTGAGGGGCGTGTCCGAGGAGGTGGGCGTTATGAGGGGCGTGTCCGAGGAGGTGGGCGTTGCGAGGGGCATGTCCGAGGAGGTGGGCGTTGCGGGGGCGTGTCCGAGGAGGTGGGCGTTGCGGGGGCGTGTCCGGGGAGGTGGGCGTTGCGGGGGCGTGTCCGAGGAGGTGGGCGTTGCGAGGGGCGTGTCCGAGCAGGACCCAGTTTCTGCTGGTTCCCTCCACTTCCTCCAGCTGCTCTCTGGCTTCTGCCCCTCCAGCTCCTCAGGCAGGAGCCCATTAAACGTGGGTTCAAGACAAAAACAGGTCACTTGGTGTGGGGCTTGAGCGTCTGGTGTCCTGTTTGCTGAATCCCGCAGCCCTGCGGCCAGGCTCTGAAGTGCACGGCCAGGGGCGTCCGGCGGGCACCCGCCCTCCCGAGGCCGCAGTGAGCCAGGCCCTTGGCCTCTCTGGGCCTCGTGTCCTTACCTGTGAGAACTAAAAGGTTCGCGCAAACGGTTCCCAAATTCCGTGGCGAAAATGATTCTCGAGTTTCCCTTCTCACCGTGTTAGTGAAACCGCTACTAAAGACCAAAGGCCTGTGCGGGTCATGAGCTGTCACCACAGTCTTCTGCACGTGCGCCTGGCAGGGTCATGGTGACGTGCGAGTGGGCGTTCGGAGAGGCTCTCAAGGCTGGACTCGGACACGGCCCTGGTGGGTTGCACACTGGGGTTTGAAAGTGGGGTGCTAGCTCACAGGGCCGTGAGTGCCGGCCTATCGCTGGAAGTCAAAGGCACATTGGGAACGAGCAGTGACCGTTGGGGTGGTTTTTGAAAGAGCTGCGAGCCCGGCAGGTGTGGCTTAGCGGGCTGAGCATTGTCCTGTAGACTGAGAGGTCCCCGTTCAGTTCCCAGTCAGGGCACATGCCGGGTTGCGGCTTGATCCCCAGTAGGGGGCGTGCAGAAGGCAGCCGATAGATGTTTCTCTCTCAAAAAAAATAAAAAACATATTATTAAAAAAAAAGAAAGAGAGAGCTGTGAATCCATGGTTTGTATTAAGTTTATAATACTATATTGAGAGTTTATTTCTCAAAATATTAAAGATACGTGTCTACTTAGTGTAATATTTGCCACTTTTTAAAGAGAAATATTGGTGAGGTATTCCATAGGGATTTGGGAACTGGATGAAGGAGTTACCTCTGGAGAAAAGAGACCCCCTTCCTTTCTCAAAATAGACCCCAGACTCCCCAGAGAGCGAGTAGGAATGCGAATTTCCACCTTGGCCAAAGTTCCTTAGCAATTGAGAACTAGAACCCACTTTTCTGTTCAACCCCATTTCTCCCCACAGTGCCTAAGACACAGTTGAGAAAGGTTCTGAGGTCAAGTCATTTGGGACATGCTGCCTGGGCCCCTTTCAGAATCCCACAGCCTGTTCTAGGACAGTGACGGTCCAGCTAAGAAGCATGTCCATCTGCTTCCCAAACACATTTGACCTTGGAAGTCTGTTACGAGCGACACGTGCTGGCGCCCTCCAGAATCGGTGTTCTTTGGAGCCTGCGTGGGGGGTTGGTTTCTGCCCCGCGGCGCTGTCGTTGGCCCTGCTGTCGGCTCCACGCACTTGTCAGTACGTGAAACCAGCATGTGGTTCCAACCTGGCGAGTCGTTCTCAGACGCAGCGTTCGGTCTGACTCCCACACTGACCGTGGGTTCCTTTTATACTATTAGTTCAGTTAAATAACTGCGAGGACTTGACTGGCCTGCGTTAGGTAACTTTTGTTTAGAATTCTCCTCCTAAGATTCTGTTCTGTAATTACAGCTTATTGTGTGTGGACTTTTGTCTTTCTTTACGTCTATTGCCAACATACCTTTACCAGTCGCACGACACCTCAGTCTGGACCGTGTCCCTGGTCACTGGTGTATTCGGTGTGGTTCAGTGAGAAACCGGGCGTTTTAAGCGTTTTCAACACGCACCGGTGGCCCCATGGTCTTCTCTTCGGGCAGCAGTGTGCGAAGGTGGCCTGAGCGGACCCATGAGATGTCCTGGTGCTGTGGTCTCTCCAGGAGCACCCAGAGCAGCCCGTTGTCCTCGGCGTCCCCTCGCTCCGCGCATGCTCGCGATGTGCTTGCCCAGTTAGTTTACTGTGACGGTCACAATGGTCACTTTCGAACTCCATCATTTCCTCTGTATTTAGCAGTCAGGATCCTCTTAGAAGCCAGTCTGCCCTCGTCAATCATCTCTTCATTATTGTATGAATCAGTGGATTCTTATTTAATGGGTTGTCATCTATTTCTGTCCGTGTGTGTGTATAAATATATATATATATATATATAATAAACCTGTAGATGTTCAACTGGAACACTGATTGACATTTAACAATGCCGCATGGACTGTGCACGTGGAGTCCACGGCCAGAGCGACTGTAACTGAGCTGGACACAGTTCTGATCTCTCTCTCTCTGTCCCCACGCTCCTTCCGCAGTCTCCCTCCAAGTGGTTCTGGAAGCTCGTGCCCGTAAGTGTGCCCAGAGCTGTGGTCGTCGTGTGTGTGTCCTGCTGGTACGGTTGTCTCGGCAGACCTGTCAGGCGTAGATTGTACTGAAGATGCTTGATCGTATGCAACAGAGACATATGTTAAAAATCCACCAAGATGTGGGTTAGAAGCTGTAAAAACCATTTGATGCAGAAGCATCTTTTGCTTATCTTGTCAGTAATCACAGACCATCAGTAACTAGGTTAAAAAAGGCATGAATATAGATTCTCATTTGTTCTAATAACGTTAGTAAAAGTGAATGTCAATTGCATGTGTAAAGTATTTGTATTTTCAAATCGTGTTTTTGAAAGAATCATTTTCTTTTCAGCCTGAATTGCTGGGGCCACTGTGTGATTAAAAAAAAAAAAGTTACAGATTCTCTGTGTCCTCCCAGTACCGGACACAATTAGATTCAGTCCTGACTCCACCTGAAGGGCTGACCTTGCAAGATTAAACCTGGGGGTTAGACCACTCACAGTGTTTCAGCATGCCCCTCGCAAGTCTCTGGCTGTCAGCTGTGTGTGTGTCCGTGCACTCATGTACGTGTGCACGCATGTGTCCATGCACTCATGTACGTGTGCACGTGTGTGTCCATGCACTCATGTACGTGTGCGTGTGTGTGTCCATGCGTGCGTGCCTTGAGCAGTAGAACAAGCACACAGCCCTGGTCTTGGCCGTGACCCTGGGTGGTGAGCTCAGTCCAGTGCAGAACGTGGGCCCCAAACTGCTAGCTAGTTCTAGAGACCTGGGAAGTTGGGTGAGCCAGCCCATCAAGGGTTTCCAAGCAGCTGGTACGCAGTCTTTTGCTTGCTAAGAGGGGGTGCGAGGATATGGACCGGCACTTGCCGGGTGCAGGTGAGACAGGTAGCCTAGGGCTGATGCTGCTGGTCCACTTCTTTCCCTTTTCCTCCCCAGCTCTCCCTTTCTCGAGTTGACTTTTAAACTGTCTGCTAGAGGTAGTTTCCTAAGGTCTACGTAAAATCAGTAGTCAACTGAAGAATTTATATAGTGTGTGCATGTAATGTTTTTCTGACTATAGGTCCTCTGTGAGTTTGTACGTAGCGTGAGATACAGATGTCTGCCTGCACGGTGTGCGAGACCAGGCATCTCTCGAGTGTTCAGGAGGACACTGTTCCGGGGACTTGCCCTCGGGTGGCCAGTGGGGAGGGTGGGGAGCATCTCTTCATGAGTGCGGGGGTCTTCTGAGGGGGACCTCCGAGAGGAGGTCCAGCGTCTCCAAAGAGTCAGTGTTCCCTTTCAGAAAATTATTTTCTAGATTTGTTCTCATAAAAGTATTTTATTTCATAATATTTTAATTGTAAAATATAGACTTGACCAGTGTAGATGAACTTAGAAGAACATTTGGTTTGGGTTATTTAAAAGAACTCTTTAAATAACAGTCACCAATGTAACTCTACATTTTGCTGATAAAATACCTCGGTTTGCACCTCCGTTCCATCTGCAGCGTCACTTTCTTGGCTGCAGGAGAGCTGCTAGCGCAACCGCTCACCGGGCGACTGCGCTGTGTGCACAGCGCTCCACAGCGTCGTCTCGTTCAGTCTCCCAGTGGCTTGTCTCCCAGTGGCTTGTCTCCCAGTGGGTTCCCTTATCATCCCCACTTTACAGGTTGGGAAACTGAAACATGAGAGTTAATAAGTGGAAAAACCCGGGTCATTTGATTCAAGAACTGTCTCCCAACCACTAAGCGTACAGCATGTCTCATGCTCAGAGAGCTGTCTGGTATGTTCTTATGCAGTCTTCAAAGACCAAGGTTTCTGCTCTGCTACTGGTTAATGAAACCTCAGTCTCAGAGTCGTTACACTGTATCTGTGTTACCGCAACGCCCCCATGGCAGGCCAGCATATCCTCTGATACTTCCTACCCCAGTTCCTCCAGATGTTTCCGCTTGCCTGGCTTTTAGGAATAGTAGATTCTCTGCCACCCCGATTTTGACACCTGGGGCGTTCTTTCTGCCCGAGCAATGCCCCGGCTCTTCCCATCGAAGGGCCAGCCGGGCAGAGTGAGCCCAGCACGGCTGAACGGCAGGCCGATGATTGTGGAGAGTCTTCAGAACCCATTCTCTGTGGCTTCTTAACCGAAGCTCCCAGGCTGTGTGTCCTTCCCGTGAGTCAGCAGCGTGACATGAGGACTGGCTTCGAGTGGGAGTGCCGCCGTGTGCGTGTGACTTGGGGATGTCTGGTGTCACTTAGAAGAGAGGATGCTGGTGGCTGGGTCTCAGTCCTCTGTCATGTTGCATCGGTGATGCCTTAGACCGCAGCACTGCTTCCCCCGTCTGTCGATCAGCAGGTGCTGATTTTCGTCTCCGTTCTGTTCTAGGCCCGTTACAGGAAGGAGCACACGCTGCTGAAGCAGCTGCCCTGCATCCCGCTGGTGGAGAACCTGCTGAAGGACGGTGCGGACGGCTGCGCCCTGGCCGCCCTCATCCACTTCTACTGCCCTGGCGTCGTCAGGCTGGAGGGTGCGTGCGCCAGGGGCCACCTCTGGCCTGTGCATGGACGTGCCGAGCGCTCGGGCAGCATCCGGCAGACACGCGCGTGCGTGCGTGCGTGTGTGCGTGTGCGTGTGCGTGCGTGCGTGCGTGCGTGTGCGTGTGTGTGATCCCGAGGAAGGGGACTGAGGCAGTGCTCCGGGGTCTCTGTCGTGCCCGTGTCTGAGTGCTCGTGAAACAGAGGGCGCGTGCCGTGTGTGTGCGTGTGTGTGTGCGTGTGCGTGCGCGTGCGTGTGTGCGTGTGTGCGTGATCCCGAGGAAGGGGACTGAGGCAGTGCTCCGGGGTCTCTGTCGTGCCCGTGTCTGAGTGCTCGTGAAACAGAGGGCGCGTGCCGTGCGTGTGCGTGTGCGTGCGTGCGTGTGCGCGTGCGTGTGTGTGTGTGTGATCCCGAGGAAGGGGACTGAGGCAGTGCTCCGGGGTCTCTGTCGTGCCCGTGTCTGAGTGCTCGTGAAACAGAGGGCGCGTGCCGTGTGTGTGCGTGTGCGTGTGCGTGTGCGTGCGCGTGCGTGCGTGTGCGTGTGATCCCGAGGAAGGGGACTGAGGCAGTGCTCCGGGGTCTCTGTCGTGCCCGTGTCTGAGTGCTCGTGAAACAGAGGGCGCGTGCCGTGTGTGTGCGTGTGCGTGTGCGTGTGCGTGCGCGTGCGTGCGTGCGTGTGATCCCGAGGAAGGGGACTGAGGCAGTGCTCCGGGGTCTCTGTCGTGCCCGTGTCTGAGTGCTCGTGAAACAGAGGGCGCGTGCCGTGTGTGTGTGCCGAGTCACTGGTAGGAGCTGAAGCGCGTGCCCTCTGAGTCGCGGAAGCCCTCACTCGCTCTCTCCCTGTTTGAAGATATCTGTCTGAAAGAAGCCATGTCCCTGGCCGACAGCCTGTACAACCTGCAGCTGGTCCAGGAGTTCTGCCGGGAGCACCTGGCCCGGTGCTGCCACCTCTCCCTGGAGGACATGCTCTACGCCGCCGCGTCCATCAAGGTGTGCGGGCTGCCACGCGTGTGTGGGGCGGCCGCGGGGGCCTCGGGGTGCGCTGCCGGAGCAGCAGCCGCCTTGTGGAGACGGGCTTGTGCTTCTCTGCGCGCTCTGCACCTAGTCTGCAGCCAGCCGCGCGTCCCGCGCCTAGTCCTGGTCCACCGCCAGCCCCGCGCCTAGTCCTGGCCCGCAGCCAGCTGCATGTTTTGGTGCCAGTGTGAAGCTGGGCTGCAACTCAGTGCAAGGCCCACCTGCTCCCACTCCTCGGTGGAGTTCAGAAGGAAAGGATGTTCCTGAGCCTTAGTTACTGGGAAAGGATTCTTACTTTGCTGACATCTTGTGGCCAAACGCAGTACAGCTGTATTAGGACAGTCACCGCGGTGCCGGGAGTATGTTCCAGCTTTGTTAAGCGCTGACAGCGCACTGTCGGTGTGCGGTGGCACAGTGAGCACTGCCACAGCTGACTGACGCCTGTGCACCTTGCACCGTCACCGTGCCCTTCTGTGGTGGGAACGCGTAAGGCCCGTCAGCAGCTTCCCAGCATAGGATGCAGCATCGGCTGTGCCGCCAGAGCTTCCCCATCTCACGGCCGGAAGTTCTAACCCTTTTACTCACAGCTCCCGTCCCCACCCCCGGTCCTGGGACGCCCCCATCCCCTCTGTCTATCAGTTTGGCTGTTTTAGATGCCACCTGTGAGATCGTACAGAATTTGTCCTTCCCTGACCTGCCCACTTAGCTCAGTGTCCTCAAGGCCCATCCATGGAGCTGTGAATGGCGGGCTTCCTCCTCCCTTGTGCTGAGTGACCCCGCGGTGCGATGTGCCCGTCTCTGTGCACTCGCCCGTGTCTGCAGACGGGCACTGGGGCTGCGTCCACGCCTCGGCCACGTGAACGATGCCGCACGGACACGAGTGCAGACACCGCTCCAGATCTGGTTTTTGTCTTCTTTGGATGTATATATACCCAGAGACAGTTTTAATGTGCTGAGGAGCCTCCATACTGTTTCCATAGTGGCTATGCAATTCTTGTCCAGTGTTTTCACAGGCAGTTATGACTACTTTTTGGTCCAGTCTGCCCTGAGTTTTGCTTTATTTGCTCCCTCTCCCTAGAGCAATTACCTGGTGTTCATGGCGGAGCTGTTCTGGTGGTTCGAGGTGGTGAAGCCGTCCTTCGTCCAGCCCCGGGTCGCTCGTCCACAAGGAGGTACCAGCCTTTCCGTTGGCGCGTCCCTGCCACAGGCACACTGGGAGCCATGGCCCTCAGCTGGGCCTCCGAGAGGGGAGCTGCTGCTTGTCAGGCTGCAGATGTTAGCGTGATATGTCCTGAGTGTTTAGCTGCTCAAAGCCGCTGAATTCCCTGAGATACAGATGAGGCAGGCGAGGGGGAAGTGGAGAGACGGGCTGGGGCGTGAGGGCTGGTGTTGTGGAGCTTTGAGCTTATGGTTGGCCGCGTCCTCTCAACGTTGCCCCACCCCCAGCTTTAATGACCGGTTAGGTTCTGCGCTGTAACACTGTCACTCAGGATCCACTCAAATCATGGCTTCTCTGCTTTAACCTGTCATATGAACTTGCCATTAAACATAAAAAGGTGTGTCTGTGTGTATGTGTATGTGCATGTGTGTCCGCGCGCGTGTGTGCATGTGTGTGAGTGTGTGTGCGTGTGTGTTAACCCTGACAGGTTTTGTGATCGCTGTATCATTAATTGCACATAATAACTAATGAGAAATAAAGAGGTTATTATAAAGATCCCTAGAAATAGAGAACAAAAACCTCCCTGCATTTTCTCTAAAGCAAAATGTATTTTTTATTGACTTCCATTATAAAACCAGAGGTTTATTTCTGTAGGAAGCAGTGATGCAAATTGTAAGCTTTTCCCCACTAGAGACATTTCTTCCAGTGTAAACATGAGACCTGTTCTTTTCTGGGCCAGCGACTGACTGCAGTGTGAGGCGGGCTCTGCACCCAGCTGCCCGCCGCTTCCCTGGGCCCAGGCCCTGGCGTGTTCTCGCGGTCCCTGTCCCTCACCATCCTGTCTCCTCCCCCAAACACCAGCGAGGAGGAGAGATCAGGAAGGAGGAAGGCAGATTCTGAATGTAGAGCAATTGTGCGATAAAGGATATCTGTAAAGGAGTTGAGGTCCTTCCCCAAGGCGTTAAGTCAGGTCAGAGACTTGAGTTGTCGTGACCGTCATGCCCGGTATTTGCACCGCTTTCCACAGTGAGCAGCGTTCACGTGTGTGCTTCCTGTGGCTTCGTCTGTGGCGCCCACCACGCAGCAGCCCACAGCAGCCACATACGTCTCGTGGCAGGAAGTGAACTGAGTCTTTCCCCAGAGCTGTGCAAAAAGTAAACTATACCAGGGCTTAGTTACTAACCGATGATGCTCTCTTTCTTTGTTACCAAAACACCAGCAATGTCGTGAAGAAGCAGACACGCCGTGTGTAATGAGCTCTGTGGCGCTGTAGCTAATTAGACGCTCAGCTGTGTGTTTTAACTACCTGCAGTAACTTAGTGTTAGGCCTTTTCCTCTCCAGTGAGCCTTGATCATGTGAATTTGTTTAAAGCCAGAAGAATACTTTAAGAAAAATTTAAAGAATATTTTACCTTATGAAAATCCTTTAAGAGGTTAACTTTAGATGTGCTACAGTGTCTCCATGAGTTGTAGGGGAAAGTGAGACTCGGTGTAAACTGCTGGGGTCCGGAATTCTGGAAATACTGTGGAAACGTGCTCATGTGTAACGCTGCGGGGTCTCCCCTCTCGTTGTAGCCGAGCCTGTGCACGGCAGCGCCGACGCCGCCGGAGGGAGCACCTTGGACAGCGCCTCCAGGTAGCCCACTCCCCTCTGTTCTCTGATGGGACCAGAATACAATCCCGTTGTGTTCGAGCTTCAGAATTGCAGCTGGACTTTGCATAAGTTTTAGTTAGTTACCTATTGAAGCTGTCGTAACTCGACTGTAATAGAAATTCACACTGAAAAGGGGGCTTCACAAACAGGCTCTCATGAACCACACTGGAAAGTGGGAGAAACAGTCTGAGGTACAAATAAGCAGCCGAAAAACAAACTTTTGCTGTGTAACTCATTTATAATTGAGAATTGCCTAAATGATAGGTAACTTTTAGGCCTCTGGGGAAATTTTAAAATCATATTTACATTTTAAAATATTTTAATGACTATAACCTTTTGAGGCAGTTTTTCCTACTGTTTTGTTTGCTGGTTACTGTGGTTATTGACAGATCCTGATAGAATATTTATTGTTATATTGAATTTTTACTGATGCTTTAGTTCTTAATATCAAGAACTGAGTTGAAAGCAAAGTGAGAATTTAATATCAGGATAATTCTGACTTCTGACTCAAGTGTATGATAGAGACATTAATTTGTTTAAAGTGACTGAGCGTAGTCCCAGGGACTGAGAGGTCCCTGTTTGATTCCCAGTCAGGGCACTTCCCAGGTCGTGGGCTCCATCCCCAGTAGGGGGCGTGCAGGAGGCAGTCGATGGGAGTATCTCTCTCTCATCGATGTTTCTCTCTCCCTTCCTCTCCTAAATAAAAAATATATATATTAAAAAAAAAATGTTTCTCAGCAGATCCTCTAGGAAGCTTTTCATGTGTATTTAAAATTAGGACCTAAAATTAAAGTTGACTTTGGACTCCCTAATTTATCTGGTTTAAGTTAAAACTTGATATATTTTGTAGTTTTTTAGAAAACCAAGCAGATCCATTAAAAATACATTGTAAGCCCTGGCCAGTTTGGCTCAGCGGTTAGAGCATCGGCCTTTGGTCCAGAGAGACCTGGGTTCGGTTCCTGCTAAGGGCGCGTACCTCGGTTGCAGTTTGTCCCCGGCCCTGGTTGGTTGTGCGGGTGGCAGCCACTCGATGTGTCCCTTTCACATTGATGTTTCTCTCTCTCTCTCTCTCCCTCCCTCCCTCCCTCCCACTCTAAACAAAAAATGGAAAAATGTACTCGGGTGAGGATTAAAAAAAATACATTTTAAAAATTATGAGTAAGAAACTGAAAATACTTTCTGTGTGGATTATCAGCTCAACCTGCAGATAGGAACTTGCCCTGAAGGGTGCCCTCCTCACCTGGGAGAGGTTTCCCCGCGGCAGAGGACAGTGCTGTCGCTCGCCTTGAAATTCGCCTGCTGGCTTCTTTTCTTTATTGTGTATTTAGGTGGGTGGGTTACAGTCTTACATTGGTCACATTAGCTTCAGAAATACCGTACAGGCTCTGATGTTTTCACACTTGCAGTGTGATCACCCCGCTAATTCCAGTCACCGCACCTGTCACCGTGTGAACCCACCACAACATTACTGCTGGAATTCTCCTCCTTCTTCCCTGCGCTCCACCCCCTTCCTTCTGGTCACCCTCCCCTTGGTCTCTGTTTTTATGAGTGTTTTTGTTTTGTGTATTCATTTGTTGTGTGTTAAGAGTCCACATATAAGGGAAACCACACGGTATTTGTCTTTCTCTGCCTGAGTTATTCCGCTTACTGGTTCACTTCTTCATTTCGCTGAGAGATGCTGTGGTTTGAGACAGCGGTAGAAGTCAGCACATCCTGTTCCCCAGTTGACTGTCCACAGATTGGGTGGGGAAGCTTAACTTCTCCACCTGACTGCGCCACGGCCGTGGCCGACTTAAAACTGAGCAGAGTCCCTTCTGGCCAGATGCCATCACAACTTGAAAAATAGGCTGTGTGATCCCTGCGTGGATGGACTGGTGGAATCAGATAAGAGGAAATCACAGGAAAGCTCCGTGTCGTCAGGCATTGGGGTTCCACCGGTGCGGCTGTGCAGAGGCCCCGCGGCTGCCGGTCCGTGGGCTCCTGGTCCTGTCGCGCTCACTCAGCGCTGGAGACGTGAGCGGGCAGTTCACACTGAGCCCTTTCCTTTCACTCTGTGTCTGTTTGGGGAAGAAAAGAATGTTCATGTTCTCTCTGCCCAGGACGTTGAGATGGAAATGTTTCAGGCTCTTTGTCTAAGAGACAACTTGTGTAGATACATATGATCACAGCCATTCTCTGGTTTAAACAATGTGTTGTTTCCTAATTTTTATTTAGGAGGGAGAGTCAGAGGTGACAGTGTGTTTCCGATTTCAGCCGTCGTTTTTCTTTTCCCCTCACCTGAGGATATTTTTACATTTATCTTCAGCTAGAATGAGAGGGAGAGAGGAAGGAAGAGAGAGAAAGATACATTGATTGGTTGCCACCCACAGGACCCCAACCCGGGCCAGGGACGAACTGCCACCGAGGTACGTGCCCCTGACCGAGTCGAACCCGGACTCCCTGGTGCCCTGGTCGACGCTCTGTCCGCTGAGCCCCAGCGGCCAGGGCCAGGGCCAGCGCCGCCGCTCTGTGCGCTCTGTGCGCTCTGTGCGCTCCGTGCGGGCGCCGGCGGGGGAGCGGGCGGGGGAGCGGGCGCGGGCGGGGGCGGGGGCGCGGGCTAACCGGGTCGTTCTCGTTGCAGCGGGGAAGGGGCTGCGCTCCCGCACCCTCGTCTGCCTGCCGGACACGCGCGGCCCCGGGCTCCTGCTTCGGCCTCAGGTAACGCACTTGACAGCCAGGGGAAGCCGCTCGGTGGGGTGACTGGGAAATGGCTGAGAATGAATGTGAGCCCCCCAGTCTCTCTCCCTCTGGAAAACGTCGTGCGCACGCGCTGGCAGGTCGGTTCGTGTGCCCCCTCCCTTCTCAGTGCTCCAGTGTGAAGTCTGTTCAGTGCTGTGAGTTAGAATGTTTTACCTGATTTCAACGACTTTCTATTTTTCATTTGAAGGGGGAATCAGAAGGTCTTCATCGATGTCTTATGTTGACGGCGTCACAGGGACGTGGCCCAAAGAGAAGAGGTAAACAGTTCCTCAGGGTGTCCGCGTACGTGGCCAGGAGGTGCTGGCCCCTCTGTCTCTCTTGTTGTCAGTGAGGCTGCAGGAGACCTTCCCTTAGCACACAGACCAGCAAGGGCACCGCAGACAGGACAGAAGTCGAGGGCCACGTGTGGAAGGCCGCTCAGGCCCTAGCTCCCTCGAGGACCAGAGGATGGAGAGGTTGCCCTTCTCCACGGGCCCCACGTCCTTAGATTCCGCCGACCGCGCAGTGAAGGTCCCACCGACTCCGGGGAAGGAGAAGTCATACTGTCGCTGCTGATCCGTAGTCAGGCCTGTGACTGGATCTGTGCTGGACATTTATAGACTCCTTTTTGGTCATTATTTCTTACGTGATACCGTGTAACATTCACACAGCATTCACATTCCTCGGGGCCTCGATCTGTGCAGATGGCTTGAAGCCCACGGGGAGGGGCCGGGTTACTGCAAACGCTCTGCCTCCTGTAGTAGGGACTTGATCTTCCTCGGGTTTGGTGCCCACAGGGCCTCCTGGACCAATCCTCCAAAGATGCTGAGGGCCGACTGTGATTTCGTTTTATTTTTATTTATTTATTTTAAATCCTCACCTGAGGATATGTTTCTATTTATCTTAAGATAGAGTGGGAAGGAGGGAGGGGGGGGAGAAGGAAAAACATCCACGTGAGAGAGACACATCGACTGGCTGCCTCCTGCAGGACCCCGACCAGGCTGGGGACCAAACCACACTGAGCTGCGTGCCCTTGACTGGAATCAAACCCGCGACTCTTTGGCCCGTGGGCCAACATTCTAACCGCTGACCCAAACCAGCCAGGGCTTGACTGTAATTTTATTTTATTTTTTTTTATCCTCACCCGAGGACATTTTTCCATTTTTTGTACAGATAGAGTGGGAGGGAGAGAGAGAGAGAAACATCGACGTGAAAGGGACACATCGAGTGTCTGCCACCCGCACGACCGACCAGGGCCGGGGACAAACTGCAACCGAGGTACGTGCCCTTAGCGGGAACCGAACCCGGGTCTCTCCGGACCGCAGGCCGACGCTCTAACCGCTGAACCAAACCGGCCAGGGCTCACTGAACAATTATTTAAAATTACAGTCAAGCCCTGGCCGGTTTGGCTCAGCGGTTAGAGCGTCGGCCTGAGGTCCGAAGAGACCCGGGTTCGGTTCCCGCTAAGGGGACGTACCTCGGTTGCAGTTTGTCCCCGGCCCTGGTCGGTCGTGCGGGTGGCAGCCACTCGATGTGTCCCTTTCACGTCGATGTTTCTCTCTCTCTCTGTTCCTCTCTCTCCCTCCCACTCTACCTGAACAAAAAATGGAAAAAATGTCCTCGGGTGAGGATAAAAAAAAATAATAATTGTTCAGTGATATAAAATTGCTTCTTTGCTGGGATTTTAAGAATTTTTGTTTTTGAATTTTTTTAGATCATCAGTGCATGGAGTTTCATTTGATATTTCTTTTGATAAAGAAAACACTGTGCAGAGACCCACTCCCAGCCGAGGACTCCCTCGCTCTGTCAGTAATGAAGGCCTCTCTCTGAACAACAGTCGTGTGAATAGAAACATGAGAAAGCACCTGTCCTTCAAGCCCGTCAACGGGGAAGAGGACGTGGACGACATCGAGGAAGAGCTGGGCCTGCGCCCGCCCCTCGGCGCGGGCGCCAGTGAGAACGCGCGCTGCCGGCTCCCCGAGGGAGCTTCACAGAGCCGCGCCCTTCCGGACGAGCTGGGCAGCCAGGTGGAGGCGCCGAGCATCGAGGAGGCTCTGCAGATCATCCACGACACGGAGCAGGCCCCCCGCGCGCCCCCCCGGGGCCCCGCTGCCAACGGCTTCTTTCTCCACAGCCCGGACGTGGGTCCCCTCAGCGCCAACCTCCAGCTTCCTCCGTCTAGTCCTGACCCCATCACCGACACCAAAGGTGCCTTGAGCCCCGTCACCGACGACACCGAGGTGGACACTGGCATCCACGTTCCTTCCGAAGACATCCCGGGGACGGTGGACGAAGACTCTTCCCTGAGAGATTACACAGTCAGCCTGGACTCCGACATGGACGACGCGTCCAAGTTCCTTCAGGACTACGATGTGCGCGGCGGCCGCGAGGCCCTGAGCCCCTGCCCCAGCACCGTGAGCACCCGGTCTCAGCCGGGCAGCAGCGCGTCCTCCAGCTCCGGCGTGAAGATGACCAGCTTCGCCGAGCAGAAGTTCCGGAAGCTGAACCACACCGACGGGAGGAGCAGTGGGAGCAGCTCCCAGAAGACGACGCCGGAGGGCTCGGAGCTGAACATCCCGCACGTGGTGGCCTGGGCGCAGGCCCCGGAGGAGGCCGGCCTGGCGCAGGGCCGGGACAGCGCGCAGCTGCTGGCTTCCGAGGTGCTGCAGCTGCGGATGCGGCTGGAGGAGAAGAGACGCGCCATCGAGGCCCAGAAGCAGAGGGTGGAGGCCGCCTTCACCAGGCAGAGGCAGAAGATGGGCAGGACGGCCTTCCTCACGGTGGTGAAAAAGCGGGGAGACGGGGGTGCCCCGCTGCGTGAGGAAGCAGCCGGGGCGGAGGACGAGCAGGTGTTCAGCGACCGGGTGCAGGAGAGGGAGCCACAGAGAGCCGGCGGGCAGAGGAGCAAGTCCCTGGCGGACATCAAGGAGAGCACGGAGAGCGCCCCCAACAGGTGGCCCGAGTCGCCCACCACGCCTGTGGACCCGGAGAAGCCGTGGGGCCTGGGGAGCCCCTCGGAGGAGCCGGCGGCCGAGGGGGAGATGCTGGAGTACACGCGGTCCATCGAGAAGCTCAACTCCTCCCTGCTGCTCCTGAGGCAGGAGATGCAGCGGCTGTCGCTGCAGCAGGAGGTGCTGATGCAGCGGCGGGAGCGACCGTCCTGGGCCGGCTCCCCGCCCCAGCCCTCCCCGCACAAGCAGAGCCGGGAGCCCAGGCCCGCCCGGCCCGGCCCGTCCCCTGAGCCCCCGCGCCCCGCCCACCCGTCTCCACAGTCTTCCCACAGGAAAGGCACCTCCTTCTCGGTGAAGAACCCCAGGACTCCTCGGCCAAACGAGCTGAAGATTACCCCCCTGAGCCGCACGCTGACGCCCCCTCGGTCGGTGGACAGCCTCCCGCGGCTCAGGAGGTTCTCCCCTAGCCAGGCGCGCATCCAGACTCGCTCCTTCGTGTGTTTCGGGGATGACGGAGACGATGGGGAACCGCCGTCGGAGGAGCCCAAACCCAAGGAGGAAGGCCAGAAGGACGGCGCAGGCCCCAAGGAGGAGAGGAGGCCCCTGGAGGCCACCGTGTCTGAGGTGCTGTCTCAGCCCGTCACCGAGACGGTGCGCCTGACGCCCAGCAAGGACCCGCCCAGCCCACCCGCAGAGCCCCCGCCCCGGCCTACCTTCCCGCCCGCTGCTCCCAAGAACGTCAGTCTCATCGAAGTGTCCCTCTCGGACTTGAAACCCCCCGAGAAGGCGGATGTGTCTGTGGAAAGAGATGATGGAGAAAGTGACAGAGAGCAATTTGATGATGACCAGAAAGTGTGCTGCGGATTCTTTTTCAAGGTACGCCGTGCGCCCGTGTTGGAGTCCCGCGGGTGGGGTGGGTTTGGGGGGACATGCTTCTTCCAGTCGCAGCCCCTTGGCCCCAGCCTCCCATGAACCCCTGGGAGAGCCTGCCCCGCCCCGCGTGTTGGAAACGCCTGTGAGCGGCTCCCTGCTCATTTGTATTTCCCGACTGTCCACCCCGAGTCCCCCTCTCTGAGCTGCTGGTCTGCGCCCCTTATCCGTGTGCCCCTGAGCTCCCTGCCTGGGCACCGCAGGTCCCTCCTGCATTGATGTCTGTGCCTGGTGCTGTGGCCGGTCGCCCAGGCGGCCTGTGGCCCTGTCCCGTGAGTTGTCGGGACATTGCCCTTCTGCAGCTGTGACCTCCCGAGTGCGGAAGCATTTGGAAGCTGTCTGGACCTGGGACCGCTTCGGGTGGAAACCGAGGCAGGCCTGGGAGACCAGCAGACCACAGACCCGCTCTCAGGTCTGAGACTCGGAGGAGCGCAGGGGCCACCTTCTCTCCTGCAGGAAAGTCTCCGCGTGGCTCCGCTGGCAGGGACGTGGCCACGGCGTCACCCGTGGACTTTGGCGGCTGTCTTCTGGCTTTGACTTGGGGCTTCTCTGTCGAGCGTGTGTCTTAGAGACCCCGTGAATTCAGTTCTGAGAATGGGGGGAATTCCCCACTCGTTACTGATCGGGGAAACTCTGCCCTTCGTTCCTTTCTATGGATGGTGCTCCTTCGCCCCTTCCCGGGTGCAGCGCGCCCTGGGTGAGCGTGTGCCTTGGCCCCTTCCCGGGTGCAGCGCGCCCTGGGTGAGCGTGTGCCTTCGCCCCTTCCCGGGTGCAGCGCGCCCTGGGTGAGCGTGTGCCTTCGCCCCTTCCCGGGTGCAGCGCGCCCTGGGTGAGCGTGTGCCTTCGCCATGTGTTGGCAGGTGCCGCCGTGACCCCTTCCTTCCTGGTTTCCGGAACACGTGTGTACACGGGCAGGCTTGGCATGAGACCGCGTAGGTGTTTCCAATGTCCCGTTACAGGGACTGACAGAGAAGGTCAGTCCCTCAAGCATCTCACTTGCTCGATGCCCTGTTCCCAGGACGACCAGAAGGCAGAGGACGACATGGCGCTGAAGCGGGCAGCCCTGCTGGAGAAGCGGCTGCGGAGGGAGAAGGAGACGCAGCTGCGGAAGCAGCAGCTGGAAGCAGAGATGGAGAGCAGGAGGGAGGAGGCCAGGTGCCGGCGGGGGCGGGGTGGGGCGGGGCGGGGCGGGTGGGCCCGGCGGGGGAAGGGGGACGGGTGGCCCGGCCACAGGTGACTGTGAGGAGGGGACAGCTGCGGCTCGGTCACAGGTAAATGAGGAGGGGACAGGTTTTCACTACAGATTGTTAAGACGTTTGCCATGTACAGGCAACTGAGTTAATGCTGGTTTTTGGTGCTTTTTAAAAGTTGATTTGTTTTCCCAAAGTATTACTTGGTTGTATATTTTTACCTTAAGTTTGAGGCATTTCAAAGTAAAGTTCTCCAGAAACCACATTAACTTAAAAGAACTTCACTGGCCTGGCCGGGTGCTCAGTGGGTTAGAGCATCGTCCCAGTGACCAGGGCTGTGGGTTTGACCCCAGGCAGGGCACAGACAAGACTCAGCCAGAGGACGCACCCATCAGTGGAAGAGCCGATCGATGTTTCCCCCCCTCTCTCTCTCCCTCTCTCCCTTTTTTCTAAAAAAAAAATTAAAAAATAACTGGATCTCACACACACACACACACACACACACACACACACTTTTGTTAACGGTATATTCACAGAGACTTTAATGCCCTAAAGTATCTCGTCCACTCTGGACCCTTTCCCCGCGGTGCTGGAATCAGTACGCTCCCCCCCCCCCCCCCCCCCCCCCCCCCCCCCCCCGTGAGCAGCTCTGCCCGGGGCCTGCTCCCTGTGGTGCAGAGCAGAACGTGCCCTCTGGCCCCCCAGGCGGAAGACGGAGGAGGAGCGGCAGAGGAAGGAGGAGGAGCGGGCGCGCCGGGAGTTCATCCGGCAGGAGTACCTGCGGCGCAAGCAGCTGAAGCTCATGCAGGACATGGACACCGTGCTCAAGCCCCGCCCGCAGGCTGCGAAGCAGAAGAGGCGCCCCAAGTCCATCCACAGAGACCACGCCGACTCCCCCAAAACTCCCACCCAGGGTCCTCCAGGTAACCGCTGTGCGTGGAAAACACCGCCTGGCTGCCCTCCTGTGGGCTGTGCCCTGGCCGCTGGACTGGAGGCCGGCCGAGGCCGCGTGCTCCCCGCTGGGACCAGAGTGAGCGGTCAGCCCGGGCCGAGGGGTCTGTGTGCGTGAAAGGCCGTGGGGACGCTCAGGGTCCCCTACGGTGCTGACCTGTGCGGCGCCTGCCCGGGGTGACCGCCTGCACCGGCAGCCACTCCTCCAGGAGTCCCAGGGCCGGGCGGGATGTGGGGTGCGCCGGGACACCCGCGTGAGGGCGCCGCAGTTCGAGGTCCTTGACTAGACGTGGTCACACCCCAGTTTATAGTGTCTGGAGTTGAGAGGGCATACCTTTTGTTAACTCAACATGCATGCTCACGTTTAGAAACAGTATTTATCTGGTTGAAACTAAAACCCACTGAAAATTTTAAAGAATTCCTATCGTTATTCTAACACTGAGGAAAGAACATAACCCAGCCGTTTCTAGCCAATAAAACTTCTGATACTCAGTATTGGCTAAAAGCAAGAAATTATATTTTCACCTTAAATATACTTTATCCTTGTTGTTCACTGTTTACCTCACAAGCACCATATCGTGTCTCATTACACGTCCCTCTTGGAACCACTCCTACCAGCAGTCCGTCTGTCACCCTTCCTGAGGGCGTGGAGAACGGTGCGTGTGCCCCGTGTGCCCACGGGCGTGGCGGGCATGCGCCCCAGGCGAGGACACGCTGAGCCCTCCCCCCCCCTGCACAGGCCACGGGGAGCTGACGGCAGCTCCTCCCCAGGGTCCCGGCAGTTTTGTTTTCATCCAGGATCACGACTTTATCGTGTTTTTCAGTCTCCAGCCTGTCTCTGGCGTCACTGAACACGGGCGACAACGAGAGCGAGCACTCGGGCAAGCGGACACCCAGGTAACTGCCCCCCCCCCCCGCGGTCCTTCCAGCTTTCGGGAGGCGTCACGGGCACGACTAGGCCACATCTCGTGGACTCGAACGGCTACAAGAGAGTCGTGTGTGGAGCGTCTGCTCCTCTCACCGAGTACCTTCCGGGGTGTCACCGTGAGCGACACTGAGAGAGACTTTCTGTAAAGTGGACATTAGCAGTGGCCGTTGAGGCGCTCGGCAAGGGCGCCTGCAGGACAGGAAGGACGCCAGCTGTCCCCACCGGGAGAACCCCGGAGCCGAGCTGTCCCCACCGGGAGAACCCCGGAGCCGAGCTGTCCCCACTGGGAGAACCCCGGAGCCGAGCTGTCCCCACGGGAGAACCCGGAGCGGGTGCCTTGGCGCAGGAGGGGCCTCTCGTGCCCTCTCCCCATAGGATGCAGACAGGGGCTAAGAGCCATGTTCCTTTAGCTGTGAAAGCAGGGTGCTCTGGCGGTGTCATCGTGCCCGGTCACCATCGAGTTGCTTTGGTGGCCAGTGTCCAGGTGGACACCTCCTCAGTCAGCAGTGCCCGCGGGGTGACTGCTGCCCTCAGGCCCCGGAGGGCCGGCTGTGAGCGCACAGTGTCCCACGCGGGTCTCACCTCCGGGCTGGTTCGGTGGGCCCTCTCACAGACCTGGTCCCCGCGCCTTCTGCCTGGCTGAGACGCCCCAATGCTGTTTGCTGCTCAGGTCGGAGTCTGTGGAAGGGCTCCTGTCCCCGAGCCGCTGCGGCAGTCGGAACGGAGAGAAAGACTGGGAGAACGCCTCCACCACGTCGTCGGTGGCCTCGGGGACGGAGTACACAGGTGAGGCCTGCACACGTGCAGGAAAACGTCTTCGCGGGACCCGGGAAGGAGGACAGAGCTAGGTCCCCCTGCAGAGACCATGGCGAGGCGGGTCAGAACCGGTGTTCTGGTCGGGGTGTCGGCAGCCCAGGCTCCGGGCGCTCGCTCGCTTCCCGCCACGGCTCCCGTCGGTGTGGGGACGATGGGCACTCGGCCCGGCAGGGCCCTGACCCGGGACCGCGCCGCTCACTGCGTCTGCCTCCCCACAGGGCCGAAGCTGTACCGAGAGCCGAGCGCCAAGTCCAACAAGCACATAGTGCAGAACGCGCTGGCGCACTGCTGCCTGGCGGGGAAGGTGAACGAGGGGCAGAAGAAGAAGGTCCTGGAGGTGAGCGGGGCCTGGGAGCACGTCTGCCCCTTCGGAGCGGCAGGCGACGGGGAGCGGGCTGTCCCTGGGCGCTGCCGTGGGCGCGGAGGAGCCCGGGCGCTGCCATGGGGCGCGGGCTCTCCCTGGGCGCTGCCGTGGGCGCGGAGGAGCCCGGGCGCTGCCGTGGGGCGCGGGCTCTCCCTGGGCGCTGCCGTGGGCGCGGAGGAGCCCGCGCGCCACCTGTTAAGCCGAGCGCTCCATGCGGGCGCCGCCTGCCGGCCCAGGACGGCCGTGCGCCATTTCCTTGCCCAGGTTCGCTCGTTGGGGCGTCGTGATGCAGACAAGTAGTTTCCTGTTTGAAAATGAAGCCGTGGAACAAAGCAGACAGATCACTGCCGGCCGGTCACGGTCGACCCCGTCTCTAGAGGGGCCCCGGGTTCGGCAGGTCCTCTGTGCCCTGTTCCCTGCCAGGACCTCGGGGGAGGTGCCGCACATCTGTGGTCAAAGCTTTGCTTTGAGAACGTGTGTGTGATTTTGACTATTAATAAGTTATGTTTCAAATGTATGTCACCAGATTTGACCAAGAAATGCAGTAGTTATTCAGCAAAATACTGAAGGTTTTTTATTGTTTTGTTTCGTTTTTGTTTTTTATTCCGCAGGAAATGGAGAAGTCGGACGCCAATAACTTCCTGATCTTGTTCCGGGATTCCGGCTGCCAGTTCAGGTCCCTGTACACTTACTGCCCGGAAACGGAGGACATCAGCAAGCTGACTGGGATCGGCCCCAAGTCCATCACCAAGAAAATGATCGAGGGACTTTACAAGTACAATTCTGACAGGAAGCAGTTCAGCCACATCCCTGCGAAGACTTTGTCTGCGAGCGTGGACGCCATCACCATCCACAGCCACCTGTGGCAGACCAAGAGACCCGGGACGCCCAAGAAGCTGCTGCCCACGAGGGCGTAGGAGCCGGAGGGGCCGCAGGGCGTTCGCGCCGGCTCTGCCTCCTCTCCTGCCCGCCGCCGCCTTCCTGCCCGCCGCTGCCGCCTGGCCACGCCGGGCACAGCTCTGCGCCGGGCGACCGGAGGGAGGCCTCAGCGCGGGGGGCAGGCTCTCCCCGGTCAGTGCCCGTGGGGTGGACGCTCCGCGGGGGCGGTCCCTCCGGGCACCTGCGCGCTGCCAGGAGCGTTGGAGCCCGACTCTCACGCAAGCTGGACTTGGGGGACATGGCGATGCTACAAATGATGGGTTCACTCGTTGCTTTTTTAAAAAACTTTTCATGTATGTGCTTGTCTTCAGACGGTTTATTTTGTACCTCTCTCCTTGGGCTGTGCCAGGACACCTGTCATTCCACATGGGGTCACGTGCAGGGAGGCCTCTGCACGGGCCACGCCCCTTTCTTGTGGCGCTTGGAGGCGCCGGCTAGTCCCTGGTGTCGGAGCGTCGGGATGAGGGCTCTGCCGAGTATTTACAGCCTGTATTTATTATCCACTCAAGTATTAACGTTTCTTAATCAGCCAAGGGGAGGTGTCGTAAAGAGCTGCTAGTAGGTTCGCTTTAAACCACAAGCTTATAACGCGAGTAAGAAGCTGTAAGAAGTTGTGATTAGGTCGGTGTTGTCCGCACCGCTCTGGCCAACTCGGAGCCGTGCGGGTGTCCTTCTGACAGACGTCTGCCTGGGGTGAGGGCGTCAGAGCGGCCTCGTCCTGCACAGGGGCGAGGTCCTGCCGGGTCTCGTGTCTTCACCTTATTTTATTTATAACCAACATCAAAACTATATTTAGAGCTTTTAAACATGTACAAAGGGCTACATTTTAATTTTGAAATAGCTCCCCATGACTTTATGTAGATTTTTGCTTCCTTTTCACCCTGTCCGAGGCACAGCTCAGATCACGGCACCTGTGAGGTCCACACAGCCCTGCCCTTAGCCGTGCGTGGGGGCGAGTGGGCCTCCGTTCTCAGGAAGAGACTCGGACGGCCGTGGGACCTGCCACGTGAGTGTGTGGCGGCCGTGGGACCTGCCACGTGAGTGTGTGGCGGCCGTGGAGCCGTGGGTTGCACCGTGCACGGGAACAGACCAAAGTGCAGACGCTTCTCTGCCGGAGGCGCTTAGGGAACAGCCGACGCCCGCGGCGTGCTGACTGCTTCCCCGAGGAGAGCAGGGGCGGCCGTCCGGGCGCGTGCGTCTCCTCACGGGGCCTGTTGGCGTCACCCTTTGGGCTGTCGAGACTTCCTCAGACGCTGTCAATATCGTACTGTAATTTATGTTCCTATATTTATGTATATTTGTTAAAACTGTAAAAAATTTTACAGATTTTTTTTCCAATATCTGTGCAAATGCGTGTGTGTCAGGACTGTCTGTGACCTCGTCTGCATGTCAGGCCGCTCTGCAGCCCGTGCCCCGCCCTGCCTGTCGGGAGGGGTCCTTGTCAGATGATGTTTAGATTAAGACTGGTTCTAAAAAAAAGAGGAAATAAATCGAATTAAAACGTGGCAAATAGTAGTAGTCTGAAGAGAATTAGCGTTTTACTGAATCACTTCCCTGTCCAAGCGGTCTTCTCCGTGTTACTCGGACACTGAATTTTCAGAAATGGGAAACGTATTCACAGCTAAACAGGCCGGCCCTTCCTTCTCCGGTGCGCGTCCAGCAGTGACGTCCGACACGGAAGGTCGCCCGCGCTCAGCATAGCATCCGCTCGCTCCCGAGCAGGGGCGTGGATCGGTTTCCCTAGATCGGCAGAGTTTTTAAATACTGCGGTGCAGCTGTTTTTTTTTTATCCTCACTCGAGGATATTTTTCCATTTTTTGTTCAGGTAGAGTGGGAGGGAGAGAGAGGAAGAGAGAGAGAGGGAAACATCGACGTGAAGGGACACATCGAGTGGCTGCCACCCGCACGACCAACTAGGGCCGGGGACAAACTGCAACCGAAGTACGTGCCCTTAGCGGGAACCGAACCCGGGTCTCTCCGGACCGCAGGCCGACACTCTAACCGCTGAGCCAAACCGGCCAGGGCGGTGCAGCTGTTTTTAAAAATCATGTTTTAACAATTACACAAATGCAAGTTACGCCATTTCATCGAGCCTGGGGGTTTTCGGCAGCCTGGGGAACACCCCGGTGCTTCCGTCATCGGGGGCCGGATCACCCCGAGAATTACTCAGTCACGTTTGCCAAATACTCGTCAAGGCGCCAGTGCGCCGTCGGCTTCCGTTTGCCGAGGCTCCGGGAAGCTTCTCGCTCCTCTTCACAGGGCCTCTGGCTGTGCACGGCCAGGGCCAGCCTCTTCCTGGTGGTCCCCGGGCGCTGTCGGGCAGCATCGGTGTGTGCCCCCTGTGCCCGCAGAGCCCTCCGACACGCCCGCTGTGCCGTCCCCGGTCCGGTGGTTCTCCCTCACCTGAATAAAGCATGGCACCAAACGACCTGTCTGGAGTACGATGTGGCTTTTTTGTAGCACTGTGTGAATTTAGGTGAACTCATCATATCGTGTTCCGGTGTCTTAACCTCTGTTTGAATGTAACAATCTGAATGTTCCCAAGTGGTACGTTTTGATGACACTGACATTGTTCGAATATGACCGGAGACAGTTAAGAAGCCTGTAACTTTCTGCGTTTCGCTGTGAGTGTTCGTGCCCGTGTTGTATCGACCTTGTCCGTGCGCCTTCGCTCTGGGGGAATCCGTGATCACACTGTGCACCTTTATTTGTTTGTTTTTTATCCTCACCCGAGGATATTTTTCCATTTTTTGTACAGATAGAGTGGGAGGGAGAGAGAGGAAGGGAGAGAGAGAGAGAAACATCGACGTGAAGGGACACATCGAGTGGCTGCCACCCGCACGACCAACCAGGGCCGGGGACAAACTGCAACCGAAGTACGTGCCCTTAGCGGGAACCGAACCCTGGTCTCTCCGGACCGCAGGCCGACGCTTTAACCGCTGAGCCAAACCGGCCAGGGCACACTGTGCACCTTTAAAGCGAGCGGCTAACGGGCTCACAGGTGCGTGTTCCATGTGTGCCCCCCCCCCCCCCCCGCACTGGGTGCTCTAAGTTTTGCTTGGATTTTGCCAATTCTACTCCTTGAGACCAGAGCAATTTATTTATTTACTTATTTTAACTCTTTTTCTCCTTTGTTGATTTTTAAAAAGAGGAAGGAAGAGGGAGAGAGAGACAAACATCGATGAGGGAGAACATGGATGGGCCGCCTCCTGCACGCCCCCCACCGGGGATCAGACCCACAACCTGGGCACGTGCCCTGACCGGGAATTGAACCGGTGACCTCTTGGTGCAGGGTCAATGCTCAACCACTGAAGCCACACCAGCCGGGTGAGACCAGAGCAATTTTTAAAAAGATCTTAATAACAAAACAACCACACAAAAAATAATCTTCGCCTACCATCACACCTACAGCCCCCCCACACACACTCACAGTGAACCGGTGACCCACCGGGAGTGTGGGGGGCCCGCCCACGGCCAGGCTCCCTCTCATCGCCACTTCGATGAGTGAACTCGAAACGTCAGATTTCTGGGTCCCAGCGTCTCCCTCTCCCTCTCAGATGCCTGATGTGGTTGAAAAGCCGCGTGGGGCCAGCCTGAGGCTCCAGTGCGACCTCTGGCGCTGGTGTTTCACACTGGCCGGAAGGCGCCCCGGAGAACGGGCACAGTGACTGAGCCCCTGACCTTCACGAGGGCATTTGTACCATGAGAAGGGCGCCAGAGGAGAAAAACAACGGCCGTGAGCACAGTTATTTACTACGAGTTTCCATGACAGCAAACAGTGGCGCCACCCGCAAGTCCAACACTCGGGAACCAGAAAAGGAAGCAGCCCAGAGAACTGCGTGCGCACCCAGCGTCCGCCTCCAGCCACCAGCGGCCGGCCGCGCTGAGAAAGGAGCCGGACACCTGGCGAGTATCTGAAACAAGGTGAAACCGGAGAAGCCAAGAGCACAGGCTACGAACGGCCCTCACCTGGGACAGCCTTGTCCGCCCGTATTCCACAGGGCGCTCGTGCCGGGAAAGGCGATACAATGTCTGCACTTCTGAAAGGTCAGGTGAGAAATTACAGGGGGAGGGACGGAGCGTCCACGAGAGGCCGGAGTGAGGGACGCTCCCCCTGAAAGCGGCCTCGGGCGTGTGCCCCTCACCCTGACGGACAGAGAAGCCCCAAGAATGGGGGAAAACCCTTTGTGCTTTGCTTTGTTGACACCTGGCAGCAGGTGGCCACGCTCCACCTCCTGTGGGGAGAAGAGGGAGCCGTGAGCCAGGTCCCTAAAACCCGCTGGGTACCTGGGAGGCCTCTGTCCCCAGCTCCCGCCTCTGCCGCTTCTTCCCGTCCAGACAAGCTCAGGAAGGCCCACGGGGCCCAAGCCCAGTGGAGAGGATCCGCCATGTGCCCTGGGCCACTGACTTCCCTTGTGTGCGAGACCACAGCCCAGGAAATAAGTCTGTTTTTGAAAAAAACAACCTATTTGCACTTCCCCACCCCCGCCCATGGCCCTCTTGGCGGCTCACCCCATCTTCTCGTTCACCTGGTGGCTCCCTGCTGTTCACCTCTCGATTTCAGAATCGCCGGTGCTCCGGGTGTGCCCGATGGAGCTGCCCAAGGGGAGCGGTGCCCAGGAGCCCTCAGCCAGGCGAGTGGGCACTGCCCGCAGGTCTAGGGAAGGAGTCTCAGACGCCGGCCACCAGGATGTGGGTGCCACTCCCCAGCACCCGTGCTCAGACGCCAGGCCTGGCCCTTCTACCCTCGGGGACATGGGGGTCGACGGGAAGCCTGAGGCTGGGGGCTGGAGCGCCCACGAGGGAGGGACAGAAACCTGGTTCCCCGACCACCTCTCCCGCCTGCCTTTCGCCATCTGTCACAGGCCTGGGAGAGGACCAGGCTGGACACAGCAGGCCCCTCTCTCCTCACGCGTGTCCAGCTCCCTGGGGGTCGCATGGACCAGGGGGACCTCAGGCAGTCCTGGTGTGGGGCCCCTGCTGACGAGGACAGTGTTTCTGAGACTCTCGGGAGTGGCCTGGTTTGACTCACAAATGATTTCATCACCTTCCGTAACATCAGAGCCAAATACACATACAGGCCTCTCTGTGGTCCCGACCTCAGGGGACAGGGTGGCATCCCCGTGGTCCCCTCCAGGGCCCCCGGCCCGTCCTGAACTCCTCTCGACAGAGACCCCTACAGTGTTGCACTTGTCTCTTGAGTAGACCCTCTCCCTTCTGTCCCCCGCCGCCAGACCTTCCTACCCCCAACACAAATGACGGTGGGGTCGCCAGGCCTGAGCCCGTCCGGTCCGGCCCACAGTTCTAACCAAACATGGGTGTCGCATCCTACTCAGAAATGGCGGGGGGCTCCTCAGCACCTACAGAAGGAAACCCAAGCCCCTGTCATCCGCTTCCTCTCCTGCCACGCCCTCCCCGCCAGGCTGCGGTCACCCTGGGCCCAGGAACTGCCGCTAACAGTTCAGCTCCCCTCCCCATCGGACGGAACTGCCCTCTCCAAGGCCCAGAGGACTTGGTTTCTGGCGTTTCCAGGGTGGCTTGGTGGCCGCGGTGCTGCAGGACATCTGTGCTCCCCGAACCTGAACTGTGAACATCGAAGGCCAAGGGTGGGTCCCTTCAGTGCGGGGATCGGTGCCTGGCACTGTCAGTGACTCAGAGGACACTGGCGATGCTCCTCCGAACCCCCTGGTCATCACTCATTCCTGGTAACAGTGGGTGGGCCCAGGAGCGTGAGTCCCTGTGCACATCTCATGGGGGATGGCGGGCCTCGCTGGCATTGCCCACTGTCCCTGTTGCACCCACCTTCTGCAGAAAGGGCCCAGCTTCCCTCGCCCATCCTTGCCTCCTTGGACCCACCACCCCTCCGGGGCAGGCTTCACTCCCACCCTCCCCTGTGACCTGTCCCCGACTCTCCCTGCTGTGGGCTCGTAGGACAACTGACCTACGCTAGCCTGATCCACTGTCAGTGCACGGAGCTTCCATCTCTGTTCGAGTAACAGGCGGGCTCTGCCAGATGGGGGGAGACGGGGGAGAGCTGGGCTAGGACCCCAGGCTCTGCCCCTTCCATCTGGGCAAAGTTCCCACACCCCTCACTCCTCAGCCTAGACGTTCTCGTCGGTGCCACAAGGGCCCAATTGGGTCAGAAAAGCCACTTTTTGCGTTCAAACATTTAACCCAGCATTTTTTTTTAAACTGTTTTTCTTTATTGATTTTGAGAGAGAGAGGGAGAGAGAGAGAGAAACATCGATGGGCCGCCTCCTGCATGCCCCCCACTGGGGATGGGCCCACAACCCGGGCATGTGCCCTGAATGGGAATTGAATAGGTGACCTCGGGGTGCAGGGTCGACGCTCAACCACTGAGCCACACCGGCCGGGCCAGCCCCAGCATTTTAAGACACTGAGAACCACTTGAGAAGTCGGGGGCCAGTTCCTGACTAGGAGGCTGGTCCCCACGGGCAGGCTCCACCACTCGCCGGGGGCTGTGCGGCAGAGAGCCCAGGACAGGTGGACGGGCACAGGCTGAGGCCCCACCCCACCCTGTGAAAACCTCTTCGGTCTGTCTTCTCACCTTGGAAACTAGAGAAAACAGCAGCAAGGGGCCTGGGGCGGGGGTGAGAACAGACCAGGCACAGGGCACCATCCCTCATGCACCCCGACCTCAGGCTGCTCCGGTGGGAGCCAGGAGGGTCTCCTGGCACCGAGGACTTTTCCTCCCAGGGCCCAGCGGTGACGCTCCTCTGCCCAGTCCGTGGCCCTTCCTCACCTCGGTGCCACCCTACTTTGTGGGCCACCATCTGCGCCATAGGAGCTGCCCCTCCCCCACAGCCGCCTCCCTCCTCCACCACCTTCCTGCCCACCCATCCCCTGGGGTGGCAGGAAGGGAGGTGCTGGGCACCCGCCTGCAGAGCTCCCGCCTGTGTCGTGGGTGCGCGCAGACTCTGGCCCAGCCATGCCCATCACCGAGCCCTGGAGCCCCAGCCCCGAGTCCGTGTCCTGGGACTACTCGGGGTCTGGCGCCCTGGAGGAGGAGCTGGAGCTGTGCGCGTCCTGGGAGCTGCCCCACGCCCACGCCTTCGTCCCGGCGCTCTACCTGGCGGCCTTCTGCGTGGGCCTGCTTGGCAACTGCCTGGTGCTGAGGCTGCTGGCCCCGCGGCGCGGTCCGCGGCGTCTGGCGGACACCTTCGTGCTGCACCTGGCGGCCGCCGACCTGGGCCTGGTGCTGACGCTGCCCCTGTGGGCCGCGGCGGCGGCGAGGGGCGGCCGCTGGCCCTTCGGCCTCGCGCTGTGCAAGCTGAGCGGCTTCGCGCTGGCCGCCTCGCGCTGCGCCGGCGCCTTGCTGCTGGTGGGCATGGCCGCCGACCGCTACCTGGCGGTGGCCCTGCCGCTCCGGGCGCGGCCGCTGCGCTCCCCGCGGTGCGCGCGCGCCCTGTGCCGGGGCGCCTGGGCCGTGGCGCTGCTGGTCGGCCTGCCCGCCCTGGTCTCCCGCGACCTGCAGCCGCTGCCCGACGGCCCGGGCAGCCAGTGCGGGGAGCGGCCCTCCGACGCCCTCCAGGCGCTCGGGCTGCTGCTGCTGCTGCTCACCTGCGCGCTGCCCCTGGGCGCCACCCTGTTCTGCTACTGCCGCCTCGCACGCCGTCTGCGCCGGCCGCTGCGCCTGGGCCGCGTCCCCGCCGCCCCGCTGCACATCATCTGCGCCGTGGAGGGCGCCTTCGTGGGCGCCTGGCTGCCCTTCGGCGCCCTGCGCGCTGTCCTCCACCTGGCGCGCCTCGGGGCGCTGCCGCTGCCCTGCCGCCTGCTGCAGGCGCTCCGCTGGGGACTCACCGTCGCCACTTGCCTGGCCTTCAGCCACAGCTGCGCCAATCCTCTCATCTACCTTCTGCTGGACCGCTCGTTCCGCGTCCGGGCCTGGCGCCTGGCGCACGGGCTCAGCTCGGTGTCCTCGCGCTCCGGGGACCTCAGTGCGGAGCCCCGGAGCCCGGCCGACAGCGGGGGAGGAGCGTGGACCGGCCCCAGCCGGCCCGTAAGGGCCCCAGGCCGGCGGAGGTCCAGGGAGGCGGCTGGATCCCCAGACGCGTCTCCTCTGCGGGCCGCAGGACGCTCCGCTGGCACCCCGGGGATCGCCTCTCCGTCGTCGGCTTCCCCAAACCTCAGCGCTTCCTAAACTCCCCCAGCCAGGCTACCGGGCCGCTGTCTCTCAGTCCAGAGGGCGCCGGGGCTCACTTCCTCTAGTCCAGGGGGGTCCTGCGAAAAGAGCAGCCCGGATGCGCCAGGCTCTCGGGGTACAGGAGGGGTGATCCTTCCCTGCCCCGTCAGGAGCCGCACTGGCCAGAATATCAAACTCAGACCCCCAGAGCCACTCCAGCGCCGTTGCTACGGCCTCCACAACAGCCAGGCTCCTGAGAAATACCTTCTCCGAGTCAGACCTCAGGCCTCTCGCTCTCCAAAAAACCCCGACTGTGGGAAGCAGCTGCCCTTTTGTCTGCCACCATCGTAGATTCGGCCTTGTCAGTTGTCACCATCCACCAGATTTTCATTTTCAACGTTCACCAAAGCCCTGGGAACCAGCCCCAGCCATTTCCCAGAAGGGCTGCCCCGGGGTTGATACTCCTCCGACCCCTGGAGCTGCAGGACTCACCTGGAAGTTATCCTGGCCTGTCCCTGGGACAGAGGAGCTGGGATCTCTCACCAGGCCTGTCATTCGGCCGGGGACACCAGAACCTTCCGTGGGGGGTCACCTTCCTCAGTAAGCACCGCTGGGAACCCGAGCTCGACGAGGCGTCATTCTTGACTGGAGCAGGAGAGAGATGAGTGTCAGGGGGCAGCTCAACTCCGGCTCAGACAGAACTCATCTGACTCATTGGGGGTGACCTCAGGCCCGCCAGGATTTGCCATGATGTAGGGCTGTGGGCGCTGTGTGTGGGCGAAGCCATCCCAAGGGCTGGCAACACATCGCTGCTGCTGCTGCTGCTGCTGCTGCTGCTGCTGCTGCTGCTTATTCCAAAGAACGTTTCCCACCTTGAAGGTCATAGACAGAAAAGCAAGGAGCTAAGGGCATCTGCCAGCCAGGTGTGCCCTCAAAGAGGAAATGTGGCATCATGACTTCCAAATAGGCTCCGGGCCTTTTCCCCTGGGCTGTCCGAGACCGTGCAGTACGCGTGTGTGTCCATTTTCTGATTCTGCGACTTGCCTGCGGCTTCTGGGACTGCCGGAGCTCATCCAGATGGGGCCACTTTAAAATGGGGGTGGTGCTGCCGCCCCAGAGGAACTGCCTTGTGCGACTGAGGCCTCGGCCCTCCCCATGTCCAAGCCGGGCACAGTGACCTCCGGGCGGGGCCGGCAGCAACAGCGTGTCCCAGAGACTCTTTGCGAAGGTAACAAAGTAGCAGTCATCATGACTACGGACTGAAAACGAAAACCTTGCTGAGAATCCGGTCACTGTTCCGGCCCCTCCCTCACAAACACCCCCCCTTTGTCTCCTGCTCCAGAGACTTCCAGTGCTTCCCGGGGCTACCCTTCCTATCGCAAATAAATGCTTGTTGCCTCTCGTTCTTGCCTTTCCTTTTTAGCTTAGCTGGACTTTGACTAAAGAGGATGCGCCCCAAAGCCATGTCAGTCGGGTAGAGGACAGGAACTCAGGACTTCTCCCTGGGGGTCCAGCCTGCACAAACGTCCCTTCCCTTCCCTGTGTGACAGCTCAGGCCTGTCCGGGTCCTTCCTACCCTCTCCATCACTCTGAGGCAAGAAATGATTCCGCATAGCGAGACCTCAGCTTCCAGAACAGGCCCTTCGCTGGGCTGTCTGGACAGAGTCCCCACCTGTCGGCGCGTCCCACCAGCTTCTCCTGACTTAGTAGAGACAGGAAGCAGCTGCTTGGTGCCCAGGTGGGCTTTCAACCCGCCCCACCCCCGCCCTGCCCCAGCACTCACCGAAACCCAGCATTTCCCTCTGACGGGACAGAAAGTCCCTCCCTCCGTGGGGTCGGTCACTGAATTAGCCCTCCTCATGTCCCTTGGAGATGTTCTCTTATTCTCAGACCAGAAGGAGAGAGGACCCCTGAGCCCCCATTTCTCATGGGGGGAGACGAGGCTGGTTCATGGATGGAGGCTGCTGGCACGGGGCTGGGCAGAGCGTAAACTGCAGGTTCTTTAGGAGGAAGTCGGTCCATCCGCAGCAGAGCCGAGACATGTTCACACCCGCCCCCCTGAAACCCGGACCTCAGCGCCTTTCTCCAGCTTCTTCCCGGGTCTGGAGCTCAGCGCACACGCCAGGCAACGCGGTGTGGATCGCGACGTCACTTAGAGAGATCAGAGAATGATGATACGTTTTAACACAATCGCCCTGGCCGCTTTGGCTCAGCAGTTAGAGCGTTGGCCTGTGGTCCAGAGAGACCCGGGTTCGGTTCCCGCTAAGGGCACGTACCTCAGTTGCAGTTTGTCCCCGGCCCTGGTTGGGTTGTGCAGGTGGCAGCCACTCAATGTGTCCCTTTCACGTCAATGTTTCTCTCTCTCTCTCTCTCTCTCCTTCCCACTCTATCTGAACAAAAAATGGAAAAATGTCTTCGGGTGATGATTAAAAAAAAAAAGTAACACCCTGGCCGGTTTGGCGCAGCGGTTAGAGCGTCGGCCTGCAGTCCGGAGAGACCCGGGTTCGGTTCCCGCTAAGGGCGCGTACCTTGGTTGCAGTTTGTCCCCGGCCCTGGTTGGTCGTGCGGGTGGCAGCCACTCGATGTGTCCCTTCACGTCGATGTTTCTCTCTCTCTCTCTTCCTCTCTCTCCCTCCCGCTCTATCTGAACAAAAAGTGGAAAAATGTCCTCGGGTGACGATTAAAAAAAAAAAAGGAACAAAATTGCTGCTAAGCTCCCACTTGCTTCAGGAACATAAAGTGACTGTCATCTTTGTTCCTGCCAGAGCCCTGCGGCTCGAGAGTCTTTCGCTCCTTCCTGTCTCCAGGTGTCTCAGCAGCATTTTCTGCCTCGGCGCTGATGGGTGTCGGGGCGCCGGGATTCCGGGGTGCCGGCTTCGCTGCTTGTTTTATTCCACGTGTCACCACGTGGAGAGGAGGACGGCTGTTGCGTCCTGCGTAAGGTCACGGAAGCACACAGACGGGCTAGCGGGAATAGGGTCGGTCTGACGGCGACTGCTAGAGAAGGTGGCATGTCCTTTTCCCACTTCCGTCCTTTATCCTCGAAATGTTCTCTCTCTCTCTGTCCTGTTTTGCTTGTACGAGCTGCTCACGGAGAGCTGGACACTGCCTAAGCCTAGAGCGAGTCGGTCCTGGGTGCGGGGTTCGCCTGTTTCAGGGTGTCCCCCCGCCTCCTCGAGCCTCAGAGACCAGCGGAATCCTGTTCTGGGAAGTACTGCTGAGCACGGTGCACAGGCGGCCCCCGCCGGGACGTCCTCAGGGTCATCCCATCCCAGGCCCCCTTCCCTCCCCTCGCCACCAGGGAGAGGGCGGGTGGAGCTGGGCTGGGTTCAGAAAGGTCAGCCCCCGGGCACCCTGGGCATGTGTGATTCTGATTTGACTCTTGTGACTCATCCTGGGTTTCCTTCTCACCTCCCTTGACCCCGTGGCTCTTTCTCAGGGTAAGTGTGGGAACCCAGGTCCCGGGGTGATGAGTGATCTGGGGAGTTCAGAAGAATGGCAAAGCTGGCACAGCTGTGCCTGGCGATATGACTCAGCCCCTTGCCACCCTGGGAGAAAGTGAGGTCTCTGGACCTGGTGAGGACGTCCCGTTTGTCAGAGGGCATCCAGTCTAAACCTCCCCACCTTGGCTGAGCGGCCGGCAGAAGGCTCCTTACCACCCTGTGCCCCCCCGGCCCCCCAGCCTCAGTGAAATGGGGCCCAGGATGGGGAGACCTATAGGCAGGGTGCCTGGCAAGAGGAGAGAGGAAGCGAGACAGGAATTCGCCTCCCCCTCCGTTCCCATGGGACCCAGAGCATCGCCCAGTGTGTGGAAGCTGGTTCTGCCCAAGTCAGACCCGGACACATCCTGGGACGTTCGAGCCCCAAGCCCGTTTTATCCATTTGCGAAGGACACTAAGGACCACGGGCGGGAAGTCACCTGCCTAAGGTCATAACAACCCCCCTCCTGTCCCCGCAACGCCTCACACAGGGCTTTATCCGTTCTCGTGACCCCGAGGTCAGCAGGGACCACGGCTCCATTTCACAGAGGATGGGGCCGAGGCTCAGAGGGCACATGGCGCGGCCCAGGTCACAGACGCAGCGAAGCAGGAAATGCAGCCCCAGGCGACGGCCGCAGCGTCTGGGCAGGGCTGTGGTTTGCCTGCGGAGATGTGCCAGACGGGCTGATTAATCTCGCTCGGCCCGCTCTGAGAATGACTGTCACCCACGCTGCCTGCTCCCCAGCTCCCTCCAGTGCAGTGCTGTTCACCCCAAACATCCTCAGACAAGTGGGTGGTGCCTTGGGCTTCCCCTGCACCGCGTCCCAGCCACGCGGGCCACCAGCTCGCGGAATCCGTTCCATCTTTTTAACCAAGTCTTGTTTTTTCACATACCCCAAGGCCCCAAACCTTCTCAGGTCTCCTTTGCTAAGATGATCCTTTTCCATAAAGAGAGAAAAATGTAGTATTAAAACTACTCGGGAACCTCCACCCGAATAGCAATATTTTTCTTTCTTCTTCTTCTTTTTATTCTCCAACCATTCTCTACTGTGTTCACCTTCTACATCGCTGGAATCATGAGATGGTGTTGTTGTTTATCTTCACCCGAGGACATTTTTGCGTTTATCTTCAGATAGAGCGGGAGGGAGAGAGGGAGGGAGAGAGAGAGAGAAACATCGATGTGAGAGAGACACATCGACCGGCTGCCACCCACACGACCCCAACCGGGGCTGGGGACAAACTGCAACCGAGGTACGTGCCCTTAGGGGGAACCGAACTCAGGACTCTCCGGTCCGCGGGCCGACGCTCTAACCACTGAGCCAAACCGGCCAGGGCTGGTGTTTATGTTTTAATTTCAGAACACAGTCGTGCCCTCTGCCACGTACACTTCGTGGTGTCCTGTTGAAGGGTTCCCATGCGGACGAGCCGGAAGTACCTGTCCTCTGGGTCAGACCTTCCATTTGCTCAGGACTTCACTCTGGTGACGACACCACAGGGACCTTTTCCCAGCTCAGATGGGCTTTGAGTACCTGTTCCAGA